ATTTCAGTTGGATCAACTTGTTCTCTTTGAGTAGGTAAAGCTGTAGTGGAAGATTCTGGAACAGACTGACGTTCTTCTTGGACAAGAAAGACTGGATCTTCATCATCAATATCAGCTTCAAAGTCAAAATAGATTCCAGTCGACTCGTCGATATTGTCAATGTCTTCTCCAAAATCTTGCTCTCCACCCAGAGTTGTAGAGAACACCTCGTTGAATCCTACATTGGCAGACAAGTCCAATAGTATCCTTGTTCCTACCGTGGAGACCGGCGGCTTTTCAACCATTGGCTCAATCGTAGGACTTGTCTCCATATCTTCATCTTCAATAGCAATAGCCTCAATTACTCTTTCCCGAACAGATTCCGGGGCAGAGATTTCAGCAATAACGTCTTGAGTTGATGGCTCGTCACCGACCCTTGCACCTTGTTCAGATGTCTCGGCCAATCTCTGTCTCTTGCTCTCCCCCTCATGACTATCTGGATCATCCTGATCGTCATGCCTTCGTTTCAGAGATATGGCCTGAGACCTGCAGGTTTCTTCTAAGGTAGACACCCGTTCAGCTAGGGCGTCTATTGAACTTTTAAGATCTTGGGTGTTAGATGTGATTAACTTGCTAACTTTGAAAAAGCTAGAAGTAACCACATCTTGGAAAGCCAAAAACTCTGAGGCTCTAACAAAAGGGTTTACGTCTAATTGTTGACGTAAGAGGCCAACCAAATCTGCATCCTTAGCATCTGGATTTTAAGACGCCATCAATTTTGCAAAAAACAACGATTTTAGTTCATCCACCGATTGATCTAGTACTAATGGTTCAGGAACATGTTGTGGTGATGGCACAGATGGTGGCTCTTCATTTACGATTTCCTTCCCCTTCAAAATTCTTTTGATACTAGCCATTTGAGCATCCATATTATCTTGAACAGCCTTTAGGGCACCGTCCAGGTATTCCCTTGACACGAAGTCGGGTAAACTCACTCCTGGTTCATGTAGAATACCAGTTGTAACAACAGTTGAATAAACTGTTGTGCCTACGTTCAATGTTGGCATGATGTTAGCATTGGTAGGACTTCCGACCTGTCCTTATGAAATGTCAAAAGACACCACTCTGGTCGTTCCAGCAAGTTCACTAAGAACTGCACTTGGAGCAACAGATGCTCCTGACTCATGTGTACCTATGTGTTTCGGCTCTAGACTCGAGGTGCACATAATCGAAGTCGTAAGCTGGGGCAGCGGCCTACTTGTTTCAATAACTACATTCTCCAAATGAGAAGTAGTTAGCATATGAGCTCTATCCCCTTGTGAAAATGAAACAATTGGTTGTTGAGAACCAATTGAGTGGATAGGAGGGGTGTGCAAATGCATAGCTGGGCTAGCTATGTCTTGTTTAATACTAACATTAAACGGATGAATGTCAGTAGCAGATGTGGTTGCCCGACTAAGTGTATCAGTTTGGATAGGAGCTTGATCTTCTTTTTCTGTTCCACTCTCACCCTCTCCATTTTCTTTTTCTTCCCTTTCTCTCATCCTCTCTTGATTTTCAACATTAACTCCCTCATCTCCTCCATCATCAGGGATATCTTGAAGTATGCGATCGTAATCATCACATTCCTCAACGTTGAAAGACAAAGGCTGCAAGCTTGGACAAGGTTGCTGAGTTCAATATTCAGGAAAGATATCATCTATGTCATCAACAATAGTACCAATTGCTATATTTTGAGCTATTGATCACGATCTTCTGCTTCATCATTATCATCATCCTGATCATCATCTTGATCATTACCAGAATCTTCCCCATAATCAGATTCAGTAGCTTCCGAACTTGAAGTTGAGGAAGTACTGACAGTTGGAGTGCTTTGCTGATCAGACGCTCCCCCCCGCCTGTTCACCCCTCTCAGATTCTTTTTCTCTCAGCTCAGTTCCCTGTTCAGGTAACCCCTGTTCCTGAACACTCTCTTCTAATTC